TATCCATACGTAGAAGAATGAGATTAGATCACTGTCTCTCTGCACAAAAGTCAACCAAAACATGGGTCAAAGACCTGGGAATAAGACCAGTCTGCAAGTGCTGGAAGAAAGCCTAGGTGAACAGTCCAATACGGAGCTTCCTCAACAGGACTCCTGGAGCCCAGGAAGCAACAGGAGAATTAATAAGTAGGTGGCCTCAAACTTAAAATCTTGGGCCCAGCAAAGGAAACAGGAGTGTGAAGATGGCCCGCAGAAAGAGAGAAAATCTTTGCCATCTGCTCTTCCAACAGAGGGTTGACATCCAGAAAACATAAAGAACTCAAAGCATTTAACATATACACACAAAACCCGAAACAATCCAACCAATAAATGAGCAAATGAACTAAATAGACATTTAAAAGGAGAAATACAAATGTTCAACAAATACATCAAAAAATGTTCAACACCTACAGCATCAGGGAAATAAAAATGGCATTAAGATTTCACTCCACTCCATTTAAAATGGCAATAATCAAAAATACAAATAATAATAAATGCAGGTGGGAATGTAGGGGAAAAGGAATACTGTTACACTCTTGATGGGGTTGTACATTATTATAAAGACTATGGAAATGAGAATGGAGGTTCCTCAAAAGTCTAGGCATATCTGGGTGCTATGGCACATGCTGTAATCCCAGCAGCTTGGGAGGCTGAGGCAGGAGCATCTCAAGTTCAAAGCCAGCCTTAGCAACTTAGCAAGGCACTAAGCAACTAAGTGAGTTCCTGTCTCTAAATAAAATACAAAAAAAAGGCTGGGGGTATGGCTCAGTGGTTATGTACTCGGTTCATTCCTTGATACCCCCCCTCCAAAAAAAAAGAAAAAAGAAAAAAGAAAGAAAGACTAGGCATGGAACCACCATATGACTGAGCTATACCACTCCCTGGTATTTATCTTGGAGAACTGAAGTCATCTTGCTACAGTGATACATACACACCCATGTTTACAGCAGCAACACTCACAATAGCCAAACTATGGAACCAGCCTAGATGTCCATCAAAAGATGAATGGATAAAGAGAATGTGTCACTCGAACACCATAGAGTTATACATACACAGAGTTCTATTTGGCCACAAAAAAATGAAATTGTGTCATTTGCAGGAAAATATAGAAAACTGGATGCCATTGTGTTAAATGGAATGTTTTTTCTAATATATGGAAGATAGAAAAAATTTTTTTCTAAATGACCTCATGGAAATAGAAGGCAGAGCAGTGGAGACCTGTACAGTAGAGGAAGGGGACCAGGGATAGGCAGGGCGGGGGCACTGGGGAATGAAGCTGGTCGAGGGAGCTCGTGTGTGTGCGTGAATATGTCTCGATCAGTTCCCTATTGTGCATGATCACAATGCACCAATAAAAACTGTGAAGTCGAGTAGCTTCACACTCACAGGGGCAAACAGGTCTACAAGACAAAGAGAAAGAAGGGATGGTAGCAGACACAGAGCAGGGGAAGCCACGGCTGCAGGCCCTGGGACACAGGAGCGATCTGCTCTCAGAACCCCAGAAAAGGGAATAGGGAAGTAGTCCTGAAAGACAGGAGAAACACCGGCTCCTTTAAGAATATTTCTTAAAATTTCAACCGTGGCAAGAAATTTACGCTTTCCCCAGTTTTGTGCCTATAGTGCAGCAGCACTCCGTGAGCTGTGGTTGTAGCCTGCTGTCCAGCTCCGGAGCTCTCTTCATCTTTTTTTTTTTTTGTATTGGGGGTTGAACTCAGGGCCACTCCACCACTGAGCCATGTCCCCAGCCCTATTTTGTATTTTATCTAGAAACAGGGTCTCACTGAGTTGCTTAGTGACCAGAGGCTGCCTATGAACTTGCGATCCTCCTGTCTCAGCCTCCCAAGCCGCTGGGATTACAGGTGTGTGCCAAGGCGCCCACCTGGCAGCTCTTTTCATCTTACGAAACTGAAACTCTGACCCACTGAACAGTAACTCCCCACCGGCCTCCTGGTCCCTGGCGCAGTTTGGGCTTGACTCCTGTGGGTGGTCCACTGCAGACTCTGTCTTGCACACGGTCATCAGGTCATCAGCACTTGCCCATGCCAGCATCTCTCCTGTCCTGCGGTGAAGAGAGTTCCCCTGTGTGTGGGGAACCGTGTCATGTTGATCCACTCATCCACCAGTGGGCATCTGCGTTGCTTCCACCTTTGGGCAAATGTGCCTACTGCCACCGTGGCCGTGGGTGTACAAACATCTCTTTGAGTCCCTGGTCTCATTTCCTTGGGGGTCTACACCCAGAAGTGGCATTATTGGATCAAAACTTTATCTTTAATTCCCAGAGCACAAGATTAAAGGAGGTTAAAAAACATTTCTCCTTCCCTTCCCGACACAGATTTCCAGAGGATATCCTGGCTCAAGACTTTGCTGATCATGTTAGGAGAAACGAGAAGGACAGCAACTGTGGGTTTGCAGAGGAGTACCAGGTGGGCTGGGCACAGGGGCCACGCTTAGTTCCCTGTGCCTCCACCCAATCCAGACCTTCCCGCACCCTTTGGGTTTCGAGCAGCAACACAGACCTTGTTCAGTTGTACAAATATTATCAGGAGTGGTCATCTTTCCAACATGTTGACATCTTTTTTTTTGGGCTGGGGGGGGGTACCAGGGATTAAACTCAGGGGCACTTGGCTACTGAGCCACATCCCCAGCCCTATTTTATATTTTATTTAGAGACAGGGTCTCACTGAGTTGCTTAGTGCCTTGCTTTTGCTAAGGCTGGCTTTGAACTCACCATCCTCCTGCCTCAGCCTCCTGAGCCACTAGGATTATAGGTGTGCATCCCTGCGCCGGGCTCAACACGTTGACATCTTAAACAATGATGAGCTCCAGGACAACCTTATGGCAATTCCCCCACTCCCACTGGGGTGCTCTGTCTTTCCCCTGATGCCTGTCCCTAACTTCTCCCCACATCCTCTCAACTGCCCCACAGGGTGGGTAGCACATCTCTTCTATTTTTGTGGGTGACACAGAATCCCAGTGTGTAAGGGAAAAACAGGAAGTGACGCTGAAGAGGGACGGGGAGCCCTGGGGTTCTTGGGGAGGTAGGGATAGTGTAACACCATGCACCCCCTTTTCCTCTGTCCCCAGCAACTGGCCCTGGAAGGTCATGGCCAGTCTCAGATGGTGGCTTTAGCTCCTGAGAACAAGGCCAAGAACCGCTACAGAAATGTGCTGCCCTGTGAGTTTTTCATTTCTACTATTTTCATCCCCAGCCCTGATGTTGTCCACACTCCATTCCTGGTCCTCTTCTCTATCCTTATGAAAGACAAAGCTCCTCCCCTTGGTGGGCTCCTAGCCCACTCTGCCAGCTGGGGTCCCTCTGCCCCTCTCCATCCCTACATAGCTCCCAGTGTCTGTCTGCATCTGGGTGTGTCTTCAGTCCCTGGGTCTCAGGCTTCTCTCTGCCTCTCTGGGTCTGTGTGTATTTTTGCTAATGCTGATTTCTTCTCTTAGATGACTGGTCCCGGGTGCCCTTGGAACTCCTCCATGAAGAACCAGGCTCTGACTACATCAATGCCAGCTTCATGCCTGTAAGGTGGGGGCTGGGGCCGGAAGGATGCTCAGGGAGGCTCACTGGTAAAAGCTGAATCATCAGATGACCCTTGATATGCATGTTTTCCTCAACCAGGGACTCTGGAGCCCCAGGGAGTTCATTGCAGCCCAGGGCCCTCTGCCCCAAACTGTGGGCGACTTCTGGCGCATGGTCTGGGAACAACAGAGCCACACCCTGGTCATGCTGACCAACTGCATGGAGTCTGGCCGGGTAAGAGGACCTCTGTCCCAGACATTTACTCAATGTAGATCCTGACACACACCTCTCTGATTCCTCCACTATGACCCCAGTGTGGACGCTCCTCCACGCCCTCCCGGCTGTCCTCCCGACTTGTGGAAGGGTCTTAGTCCCTTCTCTGTTGCTATAACTGAGTACCATAGACTGGGAAATTTATAAAGCCTGGAGGCTGGAGGCTGAGGAACACGGAGCAGGCATCTGGAGAGCACATTCTTGCTGGTCCTGGCGTGGTGGAGGGCATCACACTGAGACAGAGCAGCAGGCTAGCTAGGCCCACCCTCAAGACCCCCTCCAGCCCCAATCACCTCCCAAGGCTCCACCTCCAAATACCATTACCGTGTGAATTGGGGGACGAAGTTTTCAACTGTTTGGGGGACAGGTTCAAACCTCAGCAGGGAGTGGAGCTGACCCCTCTGACCTTGGGCTGGAGGGACTCCTGGCTGGCATGCCTCTGTACCTGGCTGCCTATGGGTCCCACCTTGAGCAGAAGAGCCACATGCAGAGGCCTTCCCACTGACTGTCCTGTCCTCCACCAGGTGAAGTGCGAGCATTACTGGCCTCTGGATGCTCAACCCTGTACTCATGGGGACCTGCAGGTAGCTCTGGTGGGTGAGGAGGTGATGGAGAACTGGACGGTCAGGGATCTGCAGCTCCTGCATGTGAGTCCCTCCAGCCTGTGTGCGCAGAGCCCTCTGTGAAGTCAGACTGCAGGGCACCCTGCAGCACGCTTTCCCACCAACCCTTCCTCCTTCCAGATGGAGGAGCAGAAGACTCTCTCTGTGCGTCAGTTCCACTACCTGGCCTGGCCGGACCACGGTGTCCCCCAACCAGACCCCTTGCTGGCTTTCTGGAAGGTGCTCCGGCAGTGGCTGGACCAGACCTCGGAGGGAGGCCCCCCCATTGTGCACTGCAGGTACACATCACCCTGGCACCCTCTCTTGGAGAGAGCCCCCATTGGGACTCAGGGAAGGGTGTTAGATGGGTCCCTGGGGACTTGCAGAGAGGTGGAAGAGGAGGAGGAGGTGAATGCAGAGTGATGAGGGTTATAAAGCAGATTTAGATGATGATGACATCTGGGAGTATAGTTCAGTTTGCTCTCCAGCAATGAAAACAGGA